TATATCATTTAAGACTACTTTTAGAACACTCTAGATGGATATTGTTCAGAAGGATTAGCAAGAAGAGATAAAATATTTAAAATTAAGAAATACATGAAATTAAAAAGAGGTGCTTATTTTAGGCTAGTTTGCCATCCTTACTTTATAATTTTGAAAAAATATAGTGCTTTTTCTGTGTACTGTTAAGTATCTTAGTAAAGAAGATAAATCAATTTCATTGTTAACACCCTATTTAAAATCTTTACTTCAAAATTCATTCTGAAGTTAAGATTCTGGAAATTATGAACTGTCTATGGAAAATGCAATTTTCTTCAACATAGACACAAAGGGCTACAAAAACGTCCTACTTACAAATAGATTTTGCTAACATCAACCCTTGATGTTAGTCCCTCAAAGACTAAATGAAAACTGTGTGCCATAGTAATGATGGTAGTGAAAAAATGACAAAGTGAAAAACCTTGTAAATATTTGTGAATACCATTCAAGATTCATATATGTATATATAGGACAAGAGGAAGATTGTTATTAGCTCTCTTATATAAATTTACTTTGTAAATGTGGTAATGTAACATTTTTATAGAAGATCAATACGCAGTCTGATTCTAAACGCCCTTTCCCTAAAATAGTAAGGACGCATGCTGAGAGCATGCAATTTCATTGATCATAATGCACTTAAAATGCTTAAAAAGTAACTGTAGTATGAAATTTGTGCCATGCTTTTGGCAAATGACTAAATGATTCCTGGTACCAAATAACCTTTTCAATTAAATATACAATAGTTTTTCAATAGTAGAGTTCTTCATAACCCTTATCTATGTTTAGGAAGTTTTTGTCTCGGAACAGAATGCCTATCTCTTAAGTAAAGAAATCTAAGTCAATTATGGGTTATTGATTTCCTAATATTGGCATTTGGAGCTTTTGTAAGTTAGAAGTCAATGTGTACATGGAATATACAAACATTTTTAAAGTCTTTTGAGAGGAACCATATTGCTTAATGAGTAATTGGCAACTTTGAGGAATAGGTGTTTTAGACCAAGACTATGGTCTTTGTAGTTCAGTCAAGAGCAGGAAAAATAGTTCTAATTTATATATATTTTATATTTGTAATATATTGTTATTAGTGCTTGCGAGTCGATTCTGACTCCTAGCGGTCCTTTGTAGAGCAGAGTGGAATCCTGCCCGGTCTTTTTGTGCCATCCTCTCATCTTCCGGGGATATATCAGACAATGCTCTACTGCTATTCATAGAATTTTTCTGGCCAATTTTTTCAAAAGTGGGCAGCCAGATTCCTCTTCCTAGCCTGTCTTAGTCTGGAAGCTCTGCTGAAACCTGTCCACCATGGGGGACCCTGCTGGTATTTGAAATACCGGTGGCATAGCTTTCAGCATCTCAGCAACACACAGCCACCACAGTATGACAACTGATAGATGGTGGTGTGGTTCCCTGACCGGGAAACAAACCCGGGAGGCGGCAAGGAGAGCGCTGAATCTTAACCACTAGACAACCAGGGCTGGCTATATGTGTATATATACTGTCTAGGTAGATGCAGAACAGACTAGTTAGAAGGTCAACTCTATGAACTTATGGAATTTTTTTATTTTTAAAATATTTTTACTCTCTGATGTAACCTCTACTGCTAAAATAGTATCTCCCTCCCACCTTCCGTTCTCTTCTTCAATAGTTGTCATTTATTAAGTGCCAGAAACTCTTCTTGGTACTGAAGATATAAAAATGAATAAAATATATACCCTGCATTAAGGGCTTAAGGAATGTAAACAGGTAAATGTAAAAATATGTGACAGGTGTTATTATACATATGTGTGCCAAGATTATTGGCAATATAAAAGGCAATAATGAATTATAAGTGCATGGCAGAGGCAGGGAGGGATATCACAGAGACAGCATAAGGGATCTGACTCAGGAGAACTTGCAGATATGCCTTGGTCAAGATAGATGTCCACAAGTATAATTTGAATTTCAATAAAAAGATTTTTATTGTTTCCTAAGGTGTATTAGATAGTTTGTAAACTAACAAAAGAGACCTCCTACCATAACATACCTTTCATCTATGTAAAATGAACAACAATAGTGAATCAGGTGTCAGAAAATATGGTCCCAATTTTAAGTGCAAACTAAGTTGGGAGAAGGAAGAAATCACACAGAAAGCAGAATTAGATATGAGGCTTGAATAATTGATTAAATTTTAATAAGAGAAAAGAAAAATTCCTTAATAACAAAAAACAATAAATGTTATTTTACATTTTTGAATTAATTAATTAATTGATTAATTATTTTGTGAGGAAGATCAGCCCTGTGCTAACATCTGCCAACGCTCCTCTTTTTTTGCTGAGGAAGACTGGCCCTGGGCTAACATCCATGCCCATCTTCCTTCACTTTATATGGGAAGCCGTCACAGCATGGCTTGCCAAGCACTGCATCAGTGCGCGTCTGGAATCCCAACTGGCGACCCCCAGGCCGCAGCAGGGGAGTGCACACACTTAACCGCTTATGCCACCGGGCCGGCCCCATTTTACATATTTTTAAAAAATATTTTTATTTTTATTATTATTTATTTGTTATTTATTAATGAGGAAGATTGGCCCTGAGCTAACATCCATGCCAATCTTCCTCTGTTTTTTGTATATGGGACACTGCCACAGCACGGCTTGATGAGCGGTGTGCAGGTCTGCACCCCAGATCCGAACTTGTGAACCCCAGGATCCTGAAGCAGAGCACGTGAACTTAACTACTACGCCACTGAGCTGGCCTCTATTTTGTATTTTTTTACAGTTCAAGTGCTGATTACAAGAGGAATAAAGAAATTGTGGAATAATTGATTGAATGAATGAATACATGAGGTTTTATACACTTCCTTTTAAAATACAGACATCTCATTTAGGGGTGATACATTAGTGGGGTTGAATCAACTAGCTTCTTTTCAGCTGGGTTTAGAAGCGTGACAGAGGGGGCTTTATCAACATGAGAGAATTTTATGCCTAGGTGGCAGAGTTGCTGAAGAGGACAAAAGAAGCCTGAAGTTAAACAGCATTCTCTCGTGAAATTTCCCTAAGAACAGTATCGTGGAGCACCCTTACCCATTGATATTCCTGGCATCACTGGTCACCTTGGGTGAGGAGATCAATGAACTTGCATATTATTACTTCAACTCCTCCCTTGTGCTGGTGGAAAAACCTCCTCCCAGCTTCTTCAACTGTTTAGTCTCAGATACAAGTGTTATTGTTTTTCAAGGTTGAGGAACTTTTCATATTGTAAAATCTTACTAGCATAAAAAAAATCTTATATTTTAGAGCATGTCAGAATTTGAGTTACTTGTATATGTACTATTATTTGAAATTTATAAAAATTATATGAATTAGGTAAGTCATATTCTACAAACTATCTCTTTTACTTTCAGTTTTTTTAATGTGTTGTTAAATACAATATACTGTATACATTTAAAGCCTATGATTTGGTAAGTTTTGTCTTGTGTATATACCCAGGAAACCACCACCATAATCCCGATAATGGACATATCTATCAACACTACAAGTTTCCTTGTGCCCTTTGTAATTCTATCCCCCATCTCCCTCATCTCCAGGCAACTGCTTATCTGCTTCCTAGCTTTATAGTTCAGTTACAAATTTCCTTTAAAACAAGTTAAGGGACTTGGCAAAGATCAATATAGCCTATACACAGTGGAACAAAATCTTAAATGATATTCTAGTTTTTAAACTAGTGCTATTTTCAGTACTAACAATTAAATAACTAAAACTCTCCTGAGCATTCTCTTTGTTCCATGAGAACAAAGGGTCATCTCCCTAATGTTGGGAAGTTTCTTGTTAAGGAACACAGTTCTGTGAGCAATGATGACCCAGGGAAATGAGTTTAGGAAAGTTGAAACCACAGCACTCAGTGTGATTGCTTATGTCCCTGCATTTGAACTTATTCCTTTTTCCTCCTCACCCCTCCTCTGATGCTCTTCTTGACTCACTCAAGCTGATGATCTTGCTTTGTCAAAATGCAGGGAGAAAATAAAGGTAAGCAGATTTATACAAACATCTTCTCTAAACTCCATATATCTACCTGATGCATCTGTAATTGTATTTTTGCCTTCCCTCCTATAATGATGGATGAAGTATCCTAGCTCAATCAGAAGTTAAACTTTCCTTTGTTACTTTAGATCTGTGCTCAGACACATATTCAAGGACATCATTCCTAAAATTAACCCTTCCTTTCCTTTCAATATAGTGGTATCCGATCTCCCCCCTCATCAATTCCTCCATCTGAGTAACTCCATTGCATCTCATCAGCACTCTCTTGCTCTAGAGTCTTTATCATTATAAAAATCCCTTCCTTAACTGCTTTCCAGGTCCCAGCTATCTTTTGAAAATATTTTTCGTTTTGAAAGAAAGAATCATTCTTTTATCCACATTTAAAGAATCAATACACAAACTATTTTCAGCTCAACATCACTGTGATGTCATAATTTTCAATTTTTAAATACAGTTTGAGAAAGTGGAATAAAATCCTTATTTTATTTATTCAGAACGAAACCACCATACCCTGTGAAACAAAACAGAAATTAGTGCTTTTGAGTTTTCACATCTAGACATGTTGAAAACCTAATCTTTATAAGGCCTACAGGTTCTCTGCATCATTCAGGATAGATCTGTGGTGCTCATTCTGTTTAACCCCTGCAGGCAAGACTGTTACCTGGACACTCTGAAAGTCATGTCTTATTCCAAAAATACTTAACCAGAAAAATAGCAGCATAGCAGCAGGGATGTGATAGATGCCTTTGTGGTTTATTCAGGAGGCTTAATTGATAGAAAAGGGTCATGGATGAATATTTATCTCCATTGCTATTCATCTTCATTCTGAGTAGCATGGCCAGTGGGAACTGATCAGTGTCAAAGCAATCCCCAGTGACTCACTGCTCCCTTTATCTCTCTCCTTTTGGGAAGTTAATGTACTAATCAGCCCTTGTTCACAAACTGATCTGTGAGAGATAGTTGTCAGGTTGGAATGTGTGCTGTCAGTAGCAGGAATAACAATCTCTTTTTTATGCGTTATCTTTCTCAGGGCAGCCACTGACGCCATCCAACTTCCCTTCACAAGACGCCTGTGATGCAAAGCCAAGGACAAATGCTATTATCTTTGATGATTTGATAAAGAAACTGAGGTCCTGAGATAGCAGGTGACAACCCCAAGGTGACTCTAATGATGAAGAGGCAGAATGCTCCTTGACTCTAATATTTGCTCTGTGTGTTCTCCATATAACAGCTGACGGGATCTGATCAACACACAAGTTAAATCATGTCTCTCCTTGTAAATGCCTTCCCACCTAAATTCTAAACTCTTTTCCATGAACTATGAGGCTTTACATGAATTGGCTTCTGCCTACTCTTCACTCTCATCTTATACCTCACATTCCTTTTGCTCTGGACTCCGTGCTTTCAAAATTTTCCTCAATTTTGACACACAGAAAAAGATAATATTGGGGCTGGCCCAGTGGCGTAGTGGTTAAGTTCATGCACTCCGCTTCGGCTGCCCAGGGTTCGCAGTTTTGGATCCTGGGCGTGGACCAATGCACCGCTAATCAAGCCATGCTGTGGCAGTGGTCCCACACGTAAAGGAGAGGAAGATGGGCACGGATGTTAGACCAGGGCCAATCTTACTCAGCAAAAAGAGGGGGACTGGCAACAGATGTTAGCTCAGGGCTAATCTTCCTCCAAAAAAAAAAAAAAAGATATTTTCATGGCACACTGAGGTAAATTAAAGAAAATGTTCTTGACCAGTGGATTAGGGCCCAGGTGCTCAGGCCTCATGCGCCAGGCTCAGCTGCCTTGAGGACTGAGGATATTGGTATCTCTGCATATCTCTAAGCCGTGTGCATGGTGCTATTGTGATTTGGTCCAGTTGGGAAGCTCTGCTCTAGTCTCACTGCCCTTTTTCCTGTTCCTCAAATGTGCTGAGCTTATTCTCTTGGTTAAAGTATTTGTACCTGCTGTTCACCCCTGCTTTGGATGCTTATTTTCTGGATCCTTGGATAGTTCTCTGTTAATTCAAATCTCAGATCAAATATCAACTTGACACTGAGATATGTCCGACCCTCAATCTAAAGGAACCCCCTAGTCCTTCTCTGCCACGTCGCATGCCCTGGCTTATTTTCTTCCAAGTATTTATGGCTGCCTGAGTTTATCTTTGTTTCCTTATTTGTTATCTTTCTCTCTCCTACAGAATGTAAGCTCATGAAAGATGGAACTCAGTTTGCCTTGTTTGCTGCTGTGGTCCCAGGGCCAATTACATTTTCTGACGTATAAAAGGGGCACAGCATTTGTTATATATACTGCATAAACTCTAGACTTTCCAGAATTTCTGCTTTGGAATAATATTTATAATCTTTACAACAAAGAATGCCAGAAAAATGGTGTACAAAGCCATAGGTCCTCCGTCGAGTTCTAATAAGAATGGATTATTATATCTCTGCCATGAGATGGATTGTTTACTGTGCCAGGGTATCATATATCACAAAAATTTCACTGAGAATACATGGAAAAATCCATCTTTCTATGAAAAATAAATGTTCCAACTTTCCAGGACAAATTCACATTCCCCTTCTGAAGATTTAAACACTTCCAAAAGGGCAGAATCTTCACAAACTTCCTTGTTAGATACTTGACTATAATAAGGAGTCCCATCTTCCCTCAGCATTTCTCACATACTTTCCTCTTGAAGCAGATACTAAGAGTTTATATCAACACTGTGGGCTATAATAGGAAGAAGATTACAGTGTGATTCTACATTCTTAGGTGCTAACCTTGGCTTTGTTCTAACTGGCACATTCAGAAAACAACTTAAGAACATTCCTTTCCACCTTCTCCCCCCTCAGGGTACTCAACTTTAAATTTAGTGATTAGTGTGTAGATAAGAATGTTTCGACAAAAATCATAGATAGTATACAGAAAAGAATGTTTTATAGGTATAAACAAATGCAGTCCTATTCAAGTGGAAGTAATGCCTTTCCTAAATAAAACAGCCTATTGTTTCCCTTCTCTGACTTTAATTCTAGCTAAGTTTGTGGTATGCTTCAGTTTCTTTCATTTTATTTTTTTCCTCAGCTTCGTGTGTTGATATATAGTTTGCTTACCAAAATATTTAGAATATCTAATAATTCACAACAACTTAAAGAATTTGTCAAAGTATTTCATGGGAATAATTCAAAAAGTCAAATAGTGTTAACAAGAAAGGCTCATAATACAAAGGAGCAGTCTTTTATCTACAATCATTCCATAGACTCTATTTTTTTCCCTACCACACCATGCCATTCTTGATAGGCAAACATTCTCAGTTCTTTTGTTCTTGAGTCCCTATTCTTAATTAATATTAGTGTATGGCTGTCTTGATCAATTAATGAAGAAAAACTGATACATCATATTCCAACTCAGGCATTTACAACCAGAGTGATATAGGGCTTGTTGTTTAACCTTACTGTGCATCAGTTTCCTCATCTGTAAATAGGGATAGTAATTTTAACCATCTCTTATATGTGAGTGAATTAAGTTGATAAGTTTAAATTATCTAGGACATTATATTACTCATAATAAGCATTTGATTGATCCAGTTCTTCGTCCTCCTCCTTCTTCTTCCTCTTCTTCATTATTGTTATTATCATAAACTCCTTTATACTCCCTTTCCTTAAGCCTCATCTACCGAATAAATCATATCTCTTTTTTTGGTTAAATTTATTTTCTTTCTTTGCATGATGTATTACTCATTGTTCCACCAAGTAGTATACTAAATATATTTTCTTTCTCATACAACTTTTAGGCACTTTTTTATGGAACTAATTACTTATTCTCTCTTTCATTTGCTGTATTTTCAATGAAAATCTGAAATAACTGATAAAGTCTTTTCTTAACTCCCTGTGAAAGGATTTTAATTAAAACGAAAATGGAGGATATGAAATAGAGAATCTCATGCATGGCCCTCAGAGGAATGGAACTAAAGAACTGAGAAACTGCTTTCCATAACTGCCTGATTTACAGAAAACAGAGGCTTATCTCTTGGCCAATGAACTTTCGCCAAGAATCGCTCCCCATCTTCAAGTCAATGAACTTACTGCTTGGACTGTGGCGGAACTTTGCCTTTTTGCACTTCTTGCCCATAAATACAGCCCACCCTATACCCTCAGTGGACTCACCTATAGCTTGTTACAGCATGCATTTCCCGAATTGCAATTTCTCTGCTATTCCTGAATAAACTCAATTTCTGGTAATTTGAGCTTGCCTCAGTTTACCATTTTTATTTAGGTCGACATGAAATAGTGTCACAAGTGGGATCCAAAGGAGATTACCCCCCAGAAGGATAATGACCCTTGGAATTGAGTGAGGTATCCATACTGAGCCTCTTGGATTCAATGCTTCCGTAAGTCACCTTACGCTTCTGGTTTGGTGAGTCTCCTCCCAGATTTTGAGCTCCCTCCTTTTGGTTGAGCTCTCTGACTTTATTTAGGATTTGGATAAAGACAGATGGTCCTTCTGGTGAGTACACTTGTGGTGTTAGAATTAGAATGCACTTGGTTTCTGAATGAGAATGTGCTTTGTTTATATTTAAACTTATGGATTTTCCTGAGAGCAAAACTAAAACTAAAATTGTTGGGCATGAGTCAAGCATGTAAACATTGTTAGAACACTTGCCACCTTTATATGAGAGAGCTGTCTCTGAAGAACAAGACTGCCATGTAAAGAAAAGGTGGTTACAGACAAGCAAGTTTCACAATAGGTCGCTTGCCACCTGCAAGAAAATTCCATGCAATTAGGGACAACTGGTCATGGATCAGACAAATAGGGCAAAGGCCGTCTGCCAGGAAAAAGAAGTATCTTATGAAAGGCACTCCGTCAAACAAAACCCAAGTCCCAAGACTTAGCATATTCTTAGGCTAACTAGGATTTTTCTTTGCTCTTAGGAAAACTCCACAGCTAGGATTCCAGTCAATCTAAATGCTCTAAGGGTGGCCCCCCTTTCAAGAAACTTGGCTGGTTTTATGTTAAAAATATATATATATGGTCTCTCCTCAAGTGCATGGACCAGTCTGATTGAAGACAACCTAGAATTATAATGGCCATTATAAGGAACATTTCAATTAGACAAGATCATTTAAGAACAGTACTTGAAAGCAAAGGTTCCCAAATCGAACAAACAGAATGAGATACTTATTTTAACTGGCATGCAGAAGCCTCCCAAAGGCTTCCAAATTCCAAAATAGCTTCATTGAAAGATTCATTGCAAAAAGCTAGTGAAAAATTAAAGATAAAAGAGGTACCTAAAGCAAAAGACAATAAGACTGATGTAGCTCCTACTGCTCCCCTGTATCCCCCATTTATATGATTTCTTATTCTAGTAATCCACAGTCTGAATTGTCTTTCTACTTTGAAGAGACTATTAAACAGTTACCTTTTAAAATAAGATCACCTAAAGCTACAGGCTATCCTCTTCAGGTATCTTTCACTCCTTGGTCAAAGACCAAATTGAGGGCCATAGTTCAAGAATTTCCTAAACCCAGGGAGGATTCTCAAAAGTTTTTGTAAATGGATTGCCTGCTAAGCCCAGTCAAGAGAGGGAAATAACGTTTCACATTGTCCTCTCCTTTCCAAGTTCAGACCTCTTGGTTGTTGATTCTTTCTTTCCCGGAGATAGTTTATTACCTTCTTGCTTATCTCACTTTACATAATGAGAAGTTGGTTTGGCTTTCTGACTTCCTGAGAAACGAAGGCTGTGAGTTCTTTCATTTTGCCATCTTTGGGAGTGACTCTAGATCTTGTGAGGATAATATCTTTTACATTCTCTTTGAAGATGCTTCTTAAGTCGTGGGATTCCTTAATACCACCAGAAATATTCACTGCTTGTCCTGGCTGAAACCTCAACTTTATAATCATAAATCTGGCTAAATTTGAAGCTGATAGTCAGAGCCCAATAGGACTTTTTTTTTTTTAATTTTTTTGGTGAGGAAGATCAGCCCTGAGCTAACATCCAATGCCAATCCTCCTCCTTTTTGCTGAGGAAGATTGGCTGGGCTAACATCCATGCCCATCCTCCTCTACTTTATGTGGGACACTGCCACAGCATGGCTTGATAAGCAGTGCATCAGTGCCTGCCTGGGATCCGAACCTGGGAACCTGGGCCCCTAAAGCAGAGCACTGGCACTTAACTGCTGCGCCACTGGGCCAGCCCTGATAGAATTATTTTTTAGGCCTTCTCCCCTAAGCTAAATGTATCCAGAAAGAAAGAAAAACATTCCAACATAGGTGGATGGATGTGTCAGTTCTTTGATATCATTTAGATGGCAACCTAATTACTTAAGGAATTAAAAACAGCTGTCCTTTACAAGTCTAGTCTTTTACAGGACCAGAGATGTGGCTCCAGAAACTATTTAAAGCCCACCTACCTATTTTACCAATCCCAAGTCTCCTCTATTTATATCAAAAGGCTTGCAGATATTCTAAAAGATCTGAATTTAGGGAACAAAAGTCCTTCTTGGAGGAACTTGCATTCTTTCCCTGTGCCTTCGAGATGTAAATGGTTTCCCTGATCTTTTTCAGGAACCCTTATCTAGGTCATCTCTTCAAAATGCAAGCTTCAGGGAGGTATTTCTTATCAAAATAAATAAAAGGGAGGAAAAGGTCATATAGAACTTGACCTGCCAAGGATAAACACTGTGGGGGAAGAGGGAGAATCCCCCTCTGCCCTTTCCCTTAAGGTTCTTATGGCTGGACAAATAATTAACAAGACAGGTTAGCAGGATAAAATAATACCAAGATTAATAACATATATACATGGGAGAAACCAGGGACACTGAGTTTCTCCACACAATGGCAGAGATTCTCGTCTTAAATACTATCTTCAGCTAAAGACAAAGGAGGATGTTGGGGGTGGGTGGTGTTTTGGGATCTCAGAGGGAAAGAAGACAATTTACATGAAAAGGGAAATGTAAATGTTTGTCAGACAATGCTTTGCAGGGCCACCTATAGAGAATGTGGCTGGAGAGACAGGAATTATAGTAATCAAGAGTATGTACATTTAAGTCTTCTCCTTCCGTACTGATAAGAGTTTCCAGAGACAAGGTCATCCCCCCCACCCCTCTTCCCAGCACAAGGGAGATACCTTTACAAGTGTAAATATTTGGTAAACAGAACTTTGAAAAGAATGGGCTTATCGAGGACCCTGCCAGTCTGTCCATACCCAGAGTTAAATTCCTTTAGGCAGTTAGCGGGGAGGTCAAATGTCCATCAGAGAAAATAATCAAGGTAAAGAGACATATTTCAGGGTGGCCAAATTTTGATCTCCCACAATACAAATCTTAAACGTCATCTCCACGAATACTAATAAAATGTTTATGCCAGCTGAGCAGGTAACTTTAACTTATTCCATCTACCAGAAACACAATTTTGATCCAACTGTTCTTTTATAACCTAGTTAATTTTGCATTATCATATCTGTCTCATGGCTAAAATTTTAAAATGAGAGCTATAATATCTTTGTTTGCATCTGCCTGTATGTGAATGTATGTCTATATATGTAAGTTATAGATGTGTTTTTCTATCTCTGGATGATATATTGCCAAAATTAATTTGTAAAAGAGCTTTATTTAATTGGCTTAAAGAAAAATAAACACATATCAAATAAAGTATTTTCATACTCTCAGAAATATTGAAACTAACCCGAATGTTATCAAGTTCACATGATCTGGGATAGTCTTTGATAAATAAAAGCTAGTTTAAGTTTATTGGTTTAATTAAAATAGACATGTCTTCAAACCTATCAGCATTACATATAATGCAGACATACAAATTTTATTCTACCTGGGTTTATTAGCCAAATAAGTTCATGTTATCTCTGTTACAGAATTTGTCAGCAAGAAAGATAATTTAAGATGATGATTAGCTGTTTAATGTTTCATGAAATTTTCATGAGTAACCTAAATATAATTAAGAACAAGTGAATTAAATAGATGTAAGGTAAAAGTTTATAAACGAACTTTTCAATAATAATTTCTTTATGGTATGTGTTCTTAAAAACAGTTTCCAAATTTTTCTGGTCACTTGAAACATTAGAATTTTGCTAACATAAGCTAAATGATAGATATTCATTGAATATCTAGATTATTCCTAAATAAGATAAAATACTAAAACATTACTTACTTAAAATAGTTTTATCCACTCTTTGATCCCTTTTACTGAGGAACTAAAGATATTTGGGTCTATTAGTGATACCAGCTCAAGACAAGGTTGATGTAGGGGAAGCCATATTGTGGAAAAGAAACCCTATTGTAACTTTGAATGACCTCTGACTAACTAACCCAGCTGGATATGAACCCTCCAGGAGATCTAACTGCTCTGTAGATTTTACAACCCCTGCTTGTGCATGTACCTCCCAGCTGCGATAAGATGATAACTGAGTTCTTTTGAGTTCCTTAGGAATGTGATGACCCCTGGACAGAGAGTCTATGCTGATAGCCATCATCAATGAAAAGTGAAAGATCTGGTGTGGCACTCCCAGTCTGTAACACCCAAGGGTCAACATTCTTAACCACCCACCTATAACCGACTGGCCAATATTATAACTGCTGTAAGACTTTGTGCCCCTTTAAGATGGTGCTTTGAGACATTAGTCAGCCATCTTCCCTCTTGCTGGCAAGCTGTAATACACTGCCCTTTCTTTTCTACCATCTTGCCTCTTGATGATTGGCTTTTGTCTTGCGGCAAGCAGATTGTGCCCTTTGTGCCGTAACATTAGTAAACTTGTTTTTTGTGCCACGTTGAAAAATTTACTATTCAGCTATACTCTGAAAACCCAGTTTAAGATTCAAAGGCTGATTCACTACTCTAAGAAAAATAAGCATGTTTAAAGAAGAAAGACAACATGGGTTTAGAGAATACCAAAACTGCATTGTGTGGAAGCTAAAGTGAAGAAATGATGGAGGCAAGTGATGTTTTGAAAAACAGGGACTAAAGGAGAGAAGGTTGAGAAGCTTGATTTAGTTTGTTATGGTCGGTTTTTGTTGAAGCAAGGATGATTCTAAATAGCCAGGATATACATGTGCCTTTTTCACGTGCACAGTGTCTGACAGTGACTTATAGAGTACTTGATACAGAGTAGACTCTATATAAAACATTTTAGAATAAATGAATAAATAATTCAAAATATATATTGATGAACTCTTCTGTGGATGAATTGTGAAATTCTTGCTTGTTGCCATTTAGTGATTTGATGGGGAAAATGAGCTATCAATACTCGTCTTGATCAACATTCTTCTCAATCTAGTTGTTCTTTATAAGGGATACAAGACTACAGACCTTTCCTGCCAATAAGTAAAATATAATTTGCCAATTTTAGAAATCATATAAAAACTATTTAAGTGATTACTTTTTTTTTTCCATGAAAATCAGTCATTGGATGAATGAAAATGAATTTTTTGTGTTTTAATGGGTTAGGGTTATACAGATAATAGATACTATGATTTGATGATTTATCCTTTTTGAACTGTTCAGCAGTATATTTATGCTGTCTGGCCATTAAAATATAATTTAGTCAACTGTACTTAATATCATACTAGGTCTTGCAAAAAAAATTTACTTTGACTAATTTAGCTTTGTTTTAGATCATGCCATTAAGTTAAAAATATTATCCTCTTCATGGAAAAGTGTGTGTGTGTGTGTGTGTGTGTGTGTGTGTGTCTGTGTGCGTGTATTTAACACATTTCCCAGGTAATGGGTGTATAATTAAGATTCTCAGTTATTGTCATGGTACCAGGCACCAGGCATTATGGGTCTCAAAGTCAGATATTAAATGAATGTGGCACTTTCTTAGAAGATGTAATTTAGATTCAAGTCTAATACTTTAAATTGTGGAGCTGAACCAGATTTTGTAGACAAACTCTTCTTCTCTATTCTTAGTTATTTGAGATCAGTACCATTCATTTGGTTGCCAGATTACAATGAGGATGGCTGCTACTGTCAGTCCTTCAGTGTTAAAAAGAGAAGACTGTCAGTACCAATGAAGATACCATGGACAGTTTAGAAAAGAAGCCTTTCAGGCAAATTCTCTTTTTAGAAAGAAGGGGTTATCAGGCCTGTACACTAATGCTTTGTCAAGACAATTTCTCAGAACCACATCAAATGGAATCTATCCCCCAAACAAAGCTCTGTTTAAGAAATATCTGAAGTAATGTTAATAGAATTCTAACTATACTATATTGACAATTATAAAAAGCCCTATTTCCTTACACTAGAGAATACCCACTGGGTAAGAAAGTTCTAAGCAGTTTATTATAAATTATAGGAAATAAGGACAGTAAATATCCATGAGGTCACATAAAAATAAACTGCTCTCTTCTGCATGGTTATGTTGCCCTGATTTCGCTGACGTGTCCACTGACAGAAATAATTTCTGATGTTGAGCTTGAAATTTCTTTTTTCTTCTTTTATGTTCTTATATCATCTCCTTACCATTTTTTATTATAAAACCTTAAAAGTATATTCTATCTAGTTAGAATTTATGTGCTTCGATTATCAGCAGACAAAATTGGCATCACTTTCTAGCTGTCACTTAGCTAAGATATGTAATTGCTGTTGTAAAACTGGACTCATAAATAGATTTTGATGTTTTCAAATTCATTGTTGTTATTCACTGAGTGTAAACAGCACTGGACTGGTCATCAAAACCCACAAATTATGATCCTGAGTTTCTTGTGAGTTATATGACTTTGAGCAAGTCATTCATTTCAATTTCCAATATTGAAATTTATTAGTGTATTGAGCCAGAGAGAGAGAGAGAGACAGAAAGAGAAGGAGGAGAAAGATTTGAACCAGATGATATTTTTTGTTCTCTTTAATAGTTTTATTTTATATTTTGGAGGAAGGTTTTATGCTACATACACTGCCCTCCTTCTCCTTTCAGGGAAGTGTAGGGTGTCCATGTGACCCAGTGACCCATTTTGCCCAACCTACACCTGTGTTCTTGTATAATTATTCATAGTATCTACTTTTACTCTCAAACATGCCTCGGTCTCATTTTGGATGACAAATTATATGCTAATCTTAGGTTTGTACACTTTGGTGAGCTAATTCCTCTTACATTCAATTCAGACAAAATAGCAGATAAATTAAATCAATTTGAGTAATTTTTACTGTGTTCTACAAACATCATTACAATCTACTTTTTGGAAATTTGTGGATTTTGAAAATGAAGACACTTTATACACAATTTGCATCCATATATTGTTGAGTAAGGCCTATATATTAATAACAAACAATAATGGAACCAAGTAAGCAGCCTTCTTGAACGCTTCCCACTGTTTTTTAAAAAAATCTCAGTATTCGAAGAAGGGATTGGCCATCTGTTGTCATGGCCACTGTATTTCAAAGACCTATTTTGGGGGCTGGTCTGGTGGCATAGTGGTTAAGTTTGCACACTTTGCTTTGGAAGCACAGGGTTCACAGGTTCAGATCCCAAGCGTGGACCTGCACACCACTTATTGAGCCATGCTGTCGCAGATGTCCCACATATAAAGTAGAGGAAGATGGGCACAGATGTTGGCCCAGGGCCAATTGAGAATTGGCCATAGATGTTAGCTCAGGGTTGATCTTCCTCACAAAAATAAATAAATAAATAAAAGACCTATTTTGTGTTCCCCAATATATAGGCATTACTCTATATGTTTTTCTTTTTAATTTTTTTTTGATTATGGAAAATCTCGACATATACAGAAGTGGAGGGAATTTTATATCGAACTTCCACATATCCACCACCTCTCTTCACAAATTGTCAAATATTTGTGAAACTGTTTTATTTATTTATTCTTCTTCCTCTGTCATGTCTTTGGTTTTGCAGAAGCATTATAGGGAAAATCCTACACATAATGTAATTTCATCCATAAATTCTTTAATATGCATCTCTATCTAATAAAGATAATTTCTTTATCTCCAACTCCATTAATGAGACTATGAAATAAAATCCTACAATACAATTTTTGCAATAAAATTATGCAATTTTAATGTGTTAAAGCATTTTTTCCTCTATGAAACAGTCTCTTACCAAAATCTAGAAAATAATTCTTTGCATGACAACATTTATTCAAATGTTCCTATTTTAATCTCTACAATATGGCCAGAAAGCAAATGCCAGATCAATTTTCTTTTATCTCGGTTAGAAAGAGGGGAAGGGAATGTGATCTTATGTTTAAATTCCTGTTGCTAGCTGGCCTTTCCTCCATCATTCTTTCTAAAGCCTGACTCAAACATTCACATTTATGAAGAAAATTAATATTTGCCTTTTATAAATGTTTTCCAGATATTATTTCACCATAAATAATAATATATTAACACATATTTTTTTTTTTGTTTATAAAATCTTTAGCATATATTCTTATATTTGATCTTAAATATCACTCTGTGAGGTAGGCATTGTTTCTTCACTTCATAAATGGTGAAAACTAAGACTAGGAGTTTCACTTCTGGGATGTCAGCATAAGGAGTTCCACAGACCCACTCTTTGGCAAAACAAGCAAGTCCTCTCAAAATTATTGTAAGGACATATAGCAAATGAAGAAACATTTATTTAAGAAAATCTACTAATACTCAGTAAGGAGAACAAGATTCTTTGGCATTTAAGCCTGACCATTTCCCCCGCCACACACAGCTCTGCTTCACAGAAGCTGCACCCTGGCTCAGGGTGAGTGTGGCCAAGGGTCTGGCCTTCCTCTCCCCTCAGCTCTTAATTAAGGCTTATGCTATATCATCAGAAGCAGGACGTTAGTATTTCTCATCCCATCCCAGTTGAAGAGGTTAAATTCCTGGTGCGTACAGTTGAGAGGTCAGAGCTTCCTTTCACGACCTAGACCCTACCATAGGATTGAGGCTCTACCCCAGGGGAGGAAAGCTGAGACTAGTAAGGCCTTAATAACTTTCATCTGAGCTTGATCATTGAGTGGAAGTTTCACCCTGGAGTGAGAAGACCAGAGAGTACTGCCCTGTCCAGCACTCAAAGTATTATCAATGAATGACTCAGAAAATTATTCCAGGGGGCTGGCCTGGTGTCGTAGTGGTTAAGTTTGCATGCTCCACCTCAGCAGCCCAGGGTTAGCGGGTTTGGATCCCAGGTGCGGACCTATACACCACTCATTAAGCCATGCTGTGGCAGCATTCCACATACAAAATAGAGGAAGATTGGCATAGATGTTAGCTCAGCAACAATCTTCCTCAAGCAAAAAGAGGACGATTGACAAC